TGAGTTTTTGTTTAGTCCCAGTTTTCTATCATGCACACCGAAAAATCATAAAATGTCAACAACCTGAACAATCCTAACCTTGTGGATTTGTGGAGTTGTAATAAATAAACAATCCAGTGAGGAAAAATTGTGATGTTACACATGTTAAAAGCATTATTCATGAACTCTTAGGATTATTGAGGATTTAAATCTCAAACAGCACAATTTCCTTGTATGTCGACAGGGCCTTTGTTCCCCTCAGTGGCTCTGAGTAGACTAATATTGATATCTTGTGGGTTTTCATTAGAATAATATATGGGACACAGGGGCTAAACAATGAGCGGTAATGTCTAAGTTGTTAATTACTGAAATAAGATAAAATGTTAACACTTAACCTTGGTGTGTGCCAAACATGAGGAGGGTGGAAACTGATTACTCATCTATTTTCATGAGAATAAATGACAGTGCATGATGTTCTGTTATGAACTACGTTGTTTTTCTGCAGGACACCACCAGACAGTAAAATTTAACAAAACTTTTATTTAAGACCGAACTGCGGTGAACAGTGTCAGCGTCTAAGGCGTCCCGCCTTAGACGCTGACACTGTTCACTCTGGTCTTATAGTTCAGTCTGAGTCCAGAGGAGAAGATTGGTTCCAACCGGTAGGCTGCCAACGAGACCTGGCAGGCACCACCCATAGAGTCCCAGGCATCGGTGTCTCAGAGGTAGAGAACAAGCAGGAGATCAGAACCGAGCAGATGAAGAAAGTCAGGATAATCGAGAGGGTGAAACCAAAACCGGTGTCCAAGATGTGCTCAGTACACAGATCTAGGAGATTAGAGGTCCGAAGCGGACCAGAACAGAGATGGGGGACATTTACAGGTCCTGTTAAAAGACAGGCAGAAATCAGAAAGGGAACAGGCAGGCTCAGAAGTCAAGAACCAGAACGGGTCAGGATCAGACAATCAGAAACACACAGGTAAGGTAGAGGACTCTCACCAAAGGCTTGAATAATCTGGCACTGATGACTGGTTGAAGGCTGTTTAAATAGAGGCTGAAGCAGGTGGATAAGATGAGCAGTAATGAGAACTGTGCGACGATAGGCAGATGAATGAGATTAGTGATTAGGCCAATCATCAGTGCCAAGACCATGACACAGCCGCAGGTCACCAACCTGGAACAGTTGTTAAACTTTTTTAAAAGACAAAACAAAAAAATTTACCTTTTAAGAGAACTTATTATGACAACAAACATAATTAGAAATAATTAGATAAGAAATATTTATTTGAATGGTTTTCCTAATGAAACACAGTATTACTGTACCTTATAAACCATTTAATTTCTCATCAAAATAAACACTTAATATCAAACTTAATCATAATGCTGTCACAATTATGTTTTTTTTTTAAATGATAAAAAAATAGGAGCGCTAGTCATGTACAGTAGGACACTGGTGTTTGTCCTGCAGCTTAGGACCCTAGTGTGTTTGGACCCTATCTCTGTCTCTTTCACTCAGTTGTGTCCTTGGGCATGACACTACCTACTGATGGTGGTCAGAGGGTCCTGTGGCTCCTGTGTAGCAACACCTGCCCTGTTGCTACAATTAAGCTTGCCACAATCAATGTGTGAATAGGTGAATGAATGAAAGCAGTAAAAGTGTTTTAAGGTTCTTTAAGTTGAAAAGTCGTTATATCAAAACAAGGCTATTTTCAAACTATTCTTCCAGTTGTTAACCCATCATCTACATGAACATGCCTTTGTTTGCTGATTATAATGTGCATGTTAAACTTATAATTCAGAGGAAGCTTTGACTATTAGAAGTGACATTTTGAGAGCACACTGAATATTTAAAGATGCTGTTGAAAAGTCTGCCGCAGGAGTGCTTTATGTCTTATAGATCATGTGCAAAAGCAGCTCTGCAGGGCAGCAGCAGGTGGTCCTCTTTAACCATAGGTGTGTCAGCACTTCCACAAAGTGGGAGGAATATGTCTAATACTGGCTTTAAAAAAGTCATCAATTGAGTGTCATCAGTGTGGCTTCGGAGTGAGAAATGTTGAGTTTGTGCAGAACCACTGAGCCAGCACATAGACTTCCAACACTTCAAACTTGGCTTTATGTCTTCCTCCTTAGCAGTTGCCTAAAGTGTATAATTAGCATCTGCTATTTTAGAAAGAGGCGCCCCTGTCTCAACACCATGCTATCTTACACTTCCCTCTGTTTACCAAGGAAATCATTTTTGGAACCAGCATGTGAAGTTATTTGGTAGCTCTGTGTGAAGGTTTTTATAACATTCTGCTGCACATTCATTAGCTTGTTATCCATAATCTACAGACATAAATTATCTCATCATCTGCATGATTCCATTTTATTACAAGGTTTTTCAAAATACGTTACAATTTAAAGATAAATAAGCTTCAACTGATTGGGAGATAATAAGACATTATGCAGTATATATTTATGTTGAGATGACTTTCTCCTTAACAATTACTACTAGTGTTGTGCTGCAATAGGTTCAGTCATAATGCATAATTGTCAGGTTAAGTGGAAGTTAGTTGAGGACCAAAATGCACAGATGAGTAGGCAGAGAGGATTTCTTCGAGATTTGATTTAGATGTAGATGGTAACAGAAGCACAAATCCAGAAATAACAAACAGGTAACCAAAACTAGGAGACACCAGGGAGAAAGATACATGAGGAGTAAAGTAAAGAAGAGAATCCAGCAGAAAGAACTGCACAGGGGATGTATATATGGGAGACAGAACACTGAATGGGCTAATCAGCTGATAGGGAGCAGGTGTGGCTAGAAGCAACTAGAAGGGAGCTAGGGGAAAGGAGACTGGCACAATGGGACAACAGAGAGTAACTCAAAATATAAAACACTGCTTAAATAAAGCCAGAAAACAAGTACAATGACAGAAAAAAGGAAAAGAAACCAATAACCAATAAAACACAGAATTACATAAATCAAAGTAAACAGAACCAAAAAGTCCACAAAGCGCAAAATAATGACAATGACATAGCAACATAAACACCTAAAATATGATGTATCAACCTGCAAAACAATACATAATCCATTATAGTTGCCAAATGCCTTACAAGGGATGTTGGCTTTGTGAAATACGAAATACTTTGTGAATTACTGCCAATCTCTTATAATTTGTACCTCACTGTTAATATCATAAGTTAAGGGCAAGCTACTGCAAAATTACTATCACCCAGAAGCCAGTGTTTGAAAAAATATAATACACACAAAAAAACAATGTTATCAATATGATATCAAAATAACTGTAACTCTGTTAGGTTAGTTGTGAAGTTATACCCATCTCTGTATATAAATTCAGAGCTACTAAATAGAACCCACTGTAGAAAAGTTACGAAAGTCACCGTTTAATAAATAAAGTTCATAGTTTATTTACAGCACTGATCTTTCTCCAAGAAAACAGACTGAAGTTTCACAATAATCATCAACACAGACTTGTTAGGCCTCATGTCTTGAATGTAGCAACATTAAACTTCTCTCTCATAATGCTAATTTTGTGCTTCTCTCTTTGTTGCTGTCTGGCGCTTGAAGTTACTGTAATTAGGATAATTAAACTAGAGCTCTTAATGATGCTAACATCTGGCTGAGGGGCAAACACCTGCAGTTTGGGTTTCCAACCAAGGAGAGATTTAAAAAAGAAAGTCATGCACTCTGACTGTATGTTTGATCTTAGTATGCGTGTTTATCTTGCAGGAGCATGCTCGCTGACGATTAGCTCATCTTGTGACTCTTAACATTACAGAATGTGCTTTGCCTTGGATGTGCTTGTTAAGCACATAATTTACCAGCGTTCAATTCTATCCTACTTTATATTAGTGTCTTGTCCCCTGGGCAATTCTTGATTTAGACAACTTTTGAAACAATTATCTTTTTCATAAGATGTAACTGAATATTTTTTAGGGTTTAATGCCCGATCTGCCACGAAATGCATTGAAGCCTAAACAGCAAGAATAATTAATAATTGAACTTTACTGATCTCACATTGGAGAAATTTACCTCTGCATTTAACCCATCCCCTTGGGGAGCGGTGGGCTGCCATTGTGCGGCACCTGGGAAGCAAGGGGGATGAGAAGGAAGCAAAACACCAAAGTTGTCCAAAATCTGTTCATAAGTCCACATTCGATCACCATTGAAACCAGATGTTGTAAAGGCAATAGAGTAATGGTAGTCTCTCTGCTACTTTAATTACGGCATCAATTTTTAAAATAGACATTCTTTAAATTATAGAGATCACAATATCTTTCACAGACCACATGTTCTTTGTCACCCTTGTTTGGTGTACACATGCTAGTTGCATGCAAACTATCAACAGAGATGTTGCCGTAGTTTTATGTGCAGTTAAGCTTCAAGACGGTCGCTGATGCTTCCGCTGCTTAGTGCTCATCTCTGACCACACATGCATCTGCAATTCATCCATTCATCAACACAGACTGACCTTTACATCATCCACCAGCCTTCATATTATTGAAGACTATCCTAAACTGAGTTTAAAAACAGACAAACAAATAATAAAATCTGCGTTCCGAGTTCAAGAGCGATAACCACTGTTACTTCTAACTGTTTTCTGTCTGCTCACTGATAGCTGGGGAGAAACACTAGCCCTCCATGCATTGGCAAGTTGGGAAAAAACATGGAGGGAGGTTTAATTGTTTTGCTCACTGATGCAAATGGAAACACAATATAAGGTATTCTGAATGTAACTCTTACCCTTATTGTTTTTTGATATAGTTAATATCACATGCATACTGTATGTTTTATTTCAGGTTCTTCTTGGTCCTGAAAGCTGCTCAGGGTTTGTTATAACCCCCCAAATATAAGTACATGGATATGAAAAGACAGAGAAGTTGTCAACCTCTCCTCTGTCTCTTCCATGTCTCCTGTTCCTCCCTCCCTCTCTTTCTGAGTCAGTGATGGGAGGAGCTCCACGGTTAGTGGATAGATGCAAGCTGTAGTACCACACAGTGTGAGAGACAGAGGGAAGGACCCACAGACGCAGGGCTGTCCTCTAACAGAGCTTCAGATCTGATCTACTCATGTGGATTTTTCTATGAAACTTTGCCAGCTGAGGACTTAGTCTATCTTTTTTTTTGTGCTGCCACCTACAGAAGGAAAACTTGTTTGAGATTTCAAGGAGAGTTTTGGTTTCATGCCTGGCTGACATAGAGCGTAAGTAATATTGTTACAGACGCTGCCCTTCTGTTCATTAACTGTTCAGTGTCTTGGCTGCATAAATCATTGATGTTGCAGTTCTGGTTACCTGTGATGCCACTGCCAGGATAGCCCTGCTGGAGAGCTATAAAATCTTTATAAGCAACACTGACGTGGAGACATTCCTGGTTTCGCTTTTTAAAAAGAAAAGTAAGTGTGAGGTGAGAGAAGATGGCATTCAGCCATCTGCCGTAAGTCTTTACTGTAAGGTGATAGAGGGGGTGATTACATACTCTGAAGGTAAGCATCTATAGGTGGGTGAGCTCTTATGTCGCTTTGGAGAAGATACCCTTGCATTACTTAATGTAGGTCTTTACTTCATTTTCTCTAGAATCACAGCTATTTAAAAGGGTGTGTTATATATTTAAGGCTCAGTGCCTTGTGTGTAAGTGCCACAACAACTTATCATAACTGTATCTGTGTCTCTGAAGGGGCTTTTCTTCTGATACTAGTTACTGGATGTGGCAGCAAATGCACTAACATCCTCTCCCAGTAGGGAAACTTTGCATGAACTCTGAATGAGCGTGGGAAATCTGATGAACCTAAGCAAGACAGGGAATACTCAGCAGCTTCTGGTTTTTGAGGTTTGAAAGCCAACAGTGAGAGACTGCTATATTTCATGTTGTGTTATGAAACTAGACAGGGCTTTATAAAATGATGCAGGAACAACAGAGAAGCCTCAGGTGGTGAAATTCAAATATGTCACCCACACACTGCTGGCAGGGCAATCAACGCTGGTGCTGTAACTTGCCAGAAGTGTGGGTGACCGCTAATGGATAGGAAGCATAAATGGAAACATCTGTCAAATCATTACGGTCAACAATCATGATTTTTCTATGTTCCTTTTGCTTACTTTTGAAAGTGCATCACTTTGAAAGCTCTTTCTAAAATCATGTGTGACAGTAAAGATTGACTCTCAGGAACCAAAAAAAGTTTAACATCTTTATTTCATTATATAGAACAGTAAAAATATAAAATTAACCTTTTCTGGTCATAAACAAGCACTCAATAGTGCATGATTGTGTAGTTGAAGAGATGCAGTACATGGTTTTCCAACCAAAAATGTTGTATGCCTATAAATGTAGCTTTCTGAGTCAAAACTTCGTAAACCCAACTTAATTGCTATTAAAGCTGGAATGTTTAGGGGTCTCTCTTTTATAGGACTTGCTAATTGACTGATTGGTTATTTTTGCAGAATAGAATTGCAGAAGATTTATCAGATGGCAGAGATTGTCTAGGAATAACAGTTTTACATTTTCAATTACATTTTTGTCTAGTCTTTGAGTAAGAGTAAGTAAGAGTTAGTTTTCTGTAACCCATGGTTAAAGAAAAACTCTCTAAAATGTTTTCTCTTCATAGCTGTCTTCCCTCTCTCTTACACTGAATTTAAAGAAATAGTCAAATAAAAGGGTCTGAATAACAGACGGCACATTTCCGATTATTATTTGCAAAACACCTAAAACTTATTTCTTGTTTCACTTTATTTTACAGTGATCTGTATTAAAATAGTCTGATCCATAAGACACAATACTAATAAAACACCTTAAATTTAGTGGTTCAAATTGAAGACAGATAAGTAAGGAAACTAAGAGTAAGTAGAAATATTATCATGGTACATTTAGAAACCCTCAGCTGGGATACAACATGTACGGTTTTGCAATATTTTTTAGATGATGGCTGCAGTGTGTCTTTTTATGTGTGCATAAATTGCATGGATGTGATACATGTGATCTCAGATTCTAGACAAGTAAAGTTATATTTCTCTTTAAAAATGTTTAAAAACTGTTTTCTCATCTCAAACATGATTCACATTAAATCTTAATGCTGATGAAGATTCTCAGTCATCCAGGTCATAGTCATTCCGTAAAAGTTCAAAAAAATCCACTGGACTTGGTTTCCAAGAATTGAAGACATTTCACCACCTCTCCAGGACTTTTACGGAATTAAATCTTAATGGTCAGGAAGCAAATTGGTTTAACAATAGGTAAGACAATTTAAGCATGTAGTTCTGAGGGGAAAATCTCTCATATTTCTTGTGGATGCTTGAAAAACTTGATCCTTCTACAAAAAGCTGTTTCTGTTTCTGTCTAACCAGACATTTTTGAGAAGTAACCCACCTAAACCAAGCCTTCACACATGCACGCAGCCCTGAGCCATCAACAAGCAAGCCCAGCAGAACCAGGAATAAATGGAAGCTTTCATAAATTTTTCAAAATGGTTAATTATTCCAAGGGAGGGGTGGAATATAATCAGCTGCAATATAACATTTGCGGATTCTGAGTTTTTCTTGCACAGCCTCGCATATGGAGATTTATGTGTCTGCTGCTGGAGAAATGCTTGTGTGTACTGACCTTGGCTCCACTGTTTTCTTTTGATTTGATCCACAAAGAAAACAGCTGGCATTTGCATTCTGAATACTGCTGGCGGCCTCAACAATGAACTGTGTGTATGATGCTGTCAGTAAAAATGTGCTGTCTGTTATATCAATAGGTCAAACCATATTTTAGACAAAAAATAAATGCACTTTATAACATCCTGCTTCTTACGTGCACAAAAACCTACAGTACGGTAATCCTATTTTGGAACATATTGAGTGCAGTAATTTTCCTAATAAAATTCACTTAAAGAATCAAGCTAGCAGCCTTACTGACTTTATGATTTCCCCTCAATGTTTCTTCAATTAAAGTACAAAGAACACTAATAAAAAAGAAATACATAAATTTTAGCAGAATATAAGCATTTATAATGTCTTAGTAAAGGATCCTTATAGTTTATGTATGTTGGTATTAAACCTGTATTAATCCACATAGGGAGCACATTTCTAATGACTGCTGTACAGTACAGCCAATAATAATACAGTATTCTATCCATCAGTCTTTTCCTGCTTATCCACCAGAGTTACAGTGGGGCTGGTACCAGCAGTCTACAGTCGAAAGGAGGGGTATTCTGTACCCTGTACAGGATGGCAACCTATCACAGGGCAACATATAAGCTATGCACAATCACTCACAACTAAAGACAATATAGAGATGCTGATTAACCTAAAAAAAAAAATTCTGACTGCGGGAGGAAGCCGGCGTACCCGGAGACAACTCAACATGCACAGGAACACCATGCAAACTTCATGCAGAAAAATCCTGGGCTCAGGAATCTAACCCAGAACCTCCTTACTGCAAGGCAGTACTAACAAACTGCGCCACTGTGCAGCCCCATAATTTAACATAGGATAATGTAATGATATGATGTAATAAAAAGTAATATGTAATATGCAAAGATTTGTCTTTCTTGCAGTTTAACATTGCATTTTATCATTTGTTTCAAAATAAATTATGGTGACATTAAAATGAAATAGTTTTACTGGTGATCACCTTGAATTAGCAGGGTAGGCAGGTAAAGCTTCAAACTACCTTCTGGTAAAATTATTTCAGCATCAGTCTGTGACTTAAAAATATAGGATATAAAATGAACCTTTTTGATGAACACTTAAAATTTTCAAACATCTTTTTCATTAACCATTGTGAAGTTTTGAGTTCCTTTAAAATAAAATAATTTAACTTAATCTCTGCTGACACAGTTAGACAAGGTGCATGTGACATACCTGCACCTATCCCTCTAGTTAATTTGCAATTTATTTGGTCTATTTTTGTACACATACTTTTTCGAACAAGTCAGTGCACTTGTTACCTACTATGTGAAATATAATAATTCTTATCATGATTCTGATCTTTTTTTTTAACAGTTTGTTTGATTTTACCTAACTTCCCCTTTATTTTGACTTGCCCTGATAAAGATGAGACATAAAAGGGTTAATGTTGCTGGGAGGGACATGGTGTGGAGTGGCCACCACTTATAACCTAAAGGTTAAACACAGGCCTTCAGGGAGTCCTGTTACTGCGTGCTCACTGATGGGAACTCTGCAAACATTCATTCTGGGAGCCCAGCGGGCTTCTCTGTTTATTCCCAGTCTAGTGCTGTGCCATGATGTGGGAAATGACTGTGGACGTGGAATTTGGCCAGATCGCTCTGTTCCCTGTACTGTTTCCAAAGTGCCTTTTACCCCTTCTAAAACACGCACCATATACGTCACAAAAAATGTTTGGGTTTTCAGTGTTTTATATATACCGAATTCCCAAAGAATTTTTGTGACGTATATGGTGTGTGTTTTAGAATGGGTATATACAATATGAATATGAATATATATATATAAATATATATATATTCATATTATTCCTCCTGTTTGGTATCAGATATACAGAACTTCACTAATGGCTCTGAAGCTGTGATATGATGCAGCAAATGTTTATCAGGATGTAGTAAATGGTTGGGAATGTTTTGGTCCTTTCAGACAGGAGTATCAGGAGTGCTAGTGATCACTGAATGAGTCTCTAACTGATCCTATTTTAGCACCCAGTACACCTCCCTCCCCCTGCCTAAGTGATTTGATATCTCTGAGCATTCCAGGTTGTGCCCTTTAGTCTGCTAATGGTGTTTCTGACCCTTTAAAGACATTCCTGCCAGCGCCCTCTGATGACACACATCTAATTGGACCATTTTAAACAAGCTGTTCTGGCTTTTCATGTTGAAGCACAGCAGCTCTTTAAACTGTGGGTTAGGGCTGCGTGAAGTACTGTTGAAACCTATGAATTATGATGAAAGAATGATGAAAGAAGTTGTGTGTGGTCAGTACTTAGTCATATCATGCTTTGACTAAATTCAACGGAAAAACGGAAATTATAAGTTCCTGTTCACCTCTTAAACTCCTAAGAACCCTGATCATTTGACCTGCATATTTGTCAAATCTAGAGATTTATATTTCTGATAATACAGATATTGTGAAATATATAAATGAACGTTATTGTGGAAGTTCTTAAGTTGGAGAAATCACGTTATTGTTTACAGGAGGTCTGCAGTACTTCAAAAAAATGTATCTCTTTCTTTAGATGTTTTTTTGGGAAGTG